AGACTCATCATACCAGCCAATGTTTTGCCTAGTTTTTTCTATTTTCATGTTCTCTACTGAAAGCAGCAGTACTCGGCGTGCTACTGCTGTAGCTCCTCTGCTTAAAAGTTCAACATGTTGTCAATTCAGAGATAATTTGATTGTTTAACTGAGTGACCATTGCCTTTCTCTCAAATCGAACACGTCGGGCCATTCTCCTCTGACCTCTGACATCATGGAGGCATTTTTTGCCAATCACTGGGTATTTCTCTTTTCTGGATACCTCTCTCTAAACTCTAGAGATGGTTGTGTGGGAAAATCCCAGTAGATCAGCAGTTTCTGGAACACTCATACCAGCCCATCCGGCACCAACTACCACAGAACACTCAAAATCATTTAAATTACTTTTCTACCTTATCCGAATGTTTAGTTCAACTTCAGCTGGTTGACTTGACCATGCATAACTGCACTGAGTTAATACCATTTGATTGGCTGATTAGATATTCGCATTAAGAAGCAGATGATTAGATGTACCTAACAGAGAGGCCAGTGAGTGTATTTATTCTGTACTTTTACTACAGAAAAGTATTGGCAAGAAGACACTGGGAGTTTATCTGATCTTCACAAAAGCCTCATTTTCTTTCCATAAGCTGTTTCTCCTCTGTTGGCAACCGGCATGTTGGGAAGCAGAGACTGTCTATAGGAACAAACTGTGACCACATTGCCACCATTGAACATGAGTTCCTTCATGCGCTGGGTTTCTGGCACGAGCAGTCCAGGGCAGACCGTGATGATTATGTCGAAATCATGTGGGACCGCATTACAGAGGGTATTGTTACTGTTATTCATCCAACCAAACTACAGTGTTTAAACACTGGATGTTCATCCTCTCATAAAGTTTTATCTCTTTATGTGGTGATTTCTTCATGACGTACCTGTTTACCCAAGAATTGTTATATGAGTACTTTTATAAGTCAGCAGTCTCTGACACCTGTTGATAAGCAGCATTTATGGTCCAAGTCATATGAATCATACAATAATAAGTAATGCAATGTCACAATGGATGAAACTGCAATGGTGCCTTTATGTATGTCCAATTTGCAGGTAAAGGACACAATTTTAACACCTATGATGACACCACCTCCAGCTCTTTGGGCGTCCCCTACGACTACAGCTCCATGATGCACTACAGTAAAACTGCTTTTAAGAACGGCATGGAGCCCACCATCGTCACCAAGATCCCTGCTTTCAGTGACATCATTGGCCAGCGTATGGAGTTCAGCGACAGTGACCTGCTCAAGCTGAACCGCCTCTATAACTGCAGTAAGATTCAGCAGTCAGTGCACAAGTACTATTTTATTTTCTCCATTATAAAAGTCAACTTGTCCTGCACCTGCAGTACTGATCTGTTCAACTTCATGTTTTGTTACATTCATCAATAATGATGTTCATGACATGGCTTGTCCCTTGATTTTTTTCTAGTTTATTGCGGTTCAAAGTGCTGCAACACTTGTTTATGTGTGTTTATGAAATCTGCTCTGCAGCTCAAGGTTCCACCTTTCTGGACTCGTGCGACTTTGAACGTGAAAATATCTGTGGTATGATACAGGGACAAGGGGATCAGGCCGATTGGGACAGGGTTACAACAGCTACTGGAGGGCCTGACACTGATTACTCCAACATGGGCAAATGCACTGGTGAGAACAATCTACTATGAAATGTATGAAAGGATAGGTTCATATTTTTACAATTCTTTCTTAAAACAATGTTCAGATACTTCTTAGTGTACCAAAATCTCCTCTGCATAGAACATTTGAAAAAATATCTTCATAGGAACATGTGAACATATTTAGTGTGGTCTCTTGTTTATGAGATCACACTAAACATTTTTTT